ACTTTCAATGGAAGTGTCCTTTTGCTGGCCCAGGTTTCTCAGCAATCCTGACATTCTAGGTATAGGGTGTTTTCGGAGAAAATACTAAATACCCTATAAGAAATATTTTTCTAAAATATATGAACCCCCTAACTCCTCGCTGTATGGGTCTTTGTGGTACCTCTTTGAAAAATCTTTCACTTTTGATGCCTTCTTTGGGATATTTCAAAGAAGTGGACGACTACCCCAGTAGATATCGTTTTAGAGAAATGTAACCAAAGAATAATATATTCTCCATCAAATTCTACTATAGGCCCCAGACCAACTGAAAGCTGTAGCTATAATATTTAGACGAAAAAATGGTCCATAAAGTGCAATCTCCAGGGAAATAAAATAGTTATGGAAACTTTCAATGAAAGTGTCCTTTTGCTGCCCAGGTTTCTCGGCAATCCTGACAGTTTAGATATAGGGTATTTTCGGAGAAAACTATACACCCTATAAGAAATATTTTTCTAGAACCTTTTTACCCCCTAACTCTTCGCTGCGTGGGTCTTTGTGGCCCTCTTTGAAAAATCTTTCACTTTTGATGCCTTATTTGTGATATTTCAATGGAGTGGACCATTACTCCTACCAGACATCACATTAGAGGAATGCAATCAAAGAACAAAATATTGTCCATCAAATTCTACAGTAGGCCCCAGACCAACTGAAAGCGGTAGCTATAATATTTACCCGAAAAATATGGGCCATAAAATGCAATTGTCCACAGAAATTAAATTATTGTGAAATTTTGAATTTTACTGTCCTTTTGTTGACCCAGGTTTCTCAGGGATCCTTACATTTTAGGTAAATTATTTTCTCTAAAATATTTTAATCCTATAGAGATCCTTAAATTCCAGGTTTTAGATTTTAGAAAGATTTTTCTAAAATATTTGAACCCTATAGCTACCGGCAGTATGGGTCCTTTTGAAACTTTTTACAAAAAATGCGAAAAAAATCACTTTTTATCAAATTGATCATTACCCCTACCAGACATCATTTTAGAGAAATACAACCAAAGAGCAAGATATTCTCCATCAAATTCTACTCTAGGCCTCAGACCAACTATAAGCTGTAGCTATAATATTTACCCAAAAAATTTGGAGGATAAAGTGCAATCTTCCACAGAAATCAAATAATTATGAAATTTTAAATTTTACTGCCCTTTTGTTGGCCTAAGTTTCTCAGGGATCCTTACATTTTAGGTAAATTATTTTATCTAAAATATTTTAACCCTTTAGGGATCCTTAAATTTTGGGCTTTTGATGTTAGAAAGATTTTTCTAAAATACCTTAACCCTATAGCTACCCGCAGTATGGGTCCTTTTGGATCTTTTTTTAAAAAATGCAAAAAATCACTTTTTGTCAAACTGACCATTACCCCTATCAGAAATCATTTTAGAGGAATGCAACCAAAGAACAAAATATTCTCCATCAAATTCTACTATAGGCTCCAGACCAACTATAAGCTGTAGCTATAATATTTACCCAAAAAATTTTGTTGGCCTAAGTTTCTCAGGGACCCTTACATTTTAGGTCAAATATTTTCTCTAAAATATTTTAACCCTATAGGGATGCTTAAAATATTAGTTTTAGATTTTGGAAAGATTTTTCTAAAATATTTGAACCCTATAGCTACCTGCAGTATGGGTCCTTTTGGACCTTTTCAAAAAAAATGCAAAAAAAATCACTTTTTATCAAATTGATCATTACCCCTACCAGAGATCATTTTAGAGGAATGCAACCAAAGAACAAGATATTCTCCATCAAATTCTACTATAGGCCCCGGAACAACTGAAAGCTGTAGCTATAATATTTATCCGAAAAATCTTCCATAGAAAGAATATAGTTATGGAGATTTTCAATGAAAGTGTGCTTTTGTTGGCCCAGGTTTCTTGGGAATCCGGACATTTTAGGTATAGGGTGTTTTTGGAAAAAATACTAAGCACCCTATAAGAAATATTTTTCTAAAATATATTAACCCTCTAACTCCTCGCTGTAAGGGTCTTTTTGGCCTCACTTTGAAAAATCCACAATCGCTTCTTTTGATATCTAATTTGTGACAGTTCAAAGAAGTGGACCATTTACCCTACCGAACATCATATTAGAGGAATGCCACCAAAGAAAAAGATGCTCTCCATCAAATTCTACAGTAGGCCCCAGACCAACTGAAAGCTATAGCTATAATATTTACCCGAAAAAATCGGGTCGTAAAGTTCAAACTGTCAAGAAGGAATTAGTTGTGGATACTTTCAATGTAATTGTCCTTTTATTGTCCTATGTTTGTCGGGACATTTTAGGTATAGGGTGTTTTTGGAAAAAATACTAAGCACCCTATAAGAGATATTTTTCTAAAATATGTTAACCCTCTAACTTCTCGCAGAATGGGTCTTTGTGACCCTCTTTGAAAAATCTTTTACTTTTGATGCCTTATTTGTGATATTTCAAAAAAAGTGGACCATTACCCCACTAGATATCATTTTAGATGAATACAACCAAAGAACAAGATATTCTCCATCAAATTCTACAGTAGGACCCAGACCAACTGAAAGCGGTAGCTATAATATTCACCCGAAAAATATGGGCCATAAAGTGCAATCTTCTACAGAAATAAATTAGTTATGGAAACTTTCAATGAAAAGGTCTTTTTGTTGGCCCAGGTTTCTTGGGAATCCTGACATTTTTGGTATAGGGTATTGTCGGAGAAAATACTGAGCACCCTATAAGAAAGATTTTTCTAGAAGATTTATACCCCCTAACTCCTCGCTGAATGGGTCTTTGTGGCCTTCTTTGAAATATCTTTCACTTTTGATGCCTTCTTTACAAGAAGTGGACTTTTACCGCACTAGATATCATTTTAGAGGAATGCAACCAAAGAACAAGATCTTCTCCATCAAATTCTACAGTAGGCCCCAGACCAACTGAAAGCTGTAGCTATAATATTTACCCAAAAAATATGGACCATAAAGTGCAATCTTCCAAAAAAAATAGTTATGGACATTTTCAATGAAAGTGTCCTTTTGCTGTCCCAGGTTTCTCGGCAATCCTGACAGTTTAGATATAGGGTGTTTTCGGAAAAAATACTAAATACCCTATAAGAAATATTTTTTTTTAAATATGTTAACCCCCTAACTCCTCGCTGGATGGGTCATTGTGGCCCTCTTTGAAAAATCTTTCACTTTTGATGCCTACTTTGTGATATTTCACAGAAATGGGTCTTTATCCCACCAGATATCATTTTAGATGAATACAACCAAAGAACAAGATATTCTCCATCAAATTCTACAGTAGGCCCCAGACCAACTGAAAGCTGTAGCTATAATATTTACCCGAAAAAATCGGACCATAAAGTACAATCTTCCACAGAAAGAAAATAGTTATGGAGACTTTCAATGTAAGTATCCTTTGGGAATCCTGACAGATTAGATATAGGTTATTTTCGGAAAAAATACTAAACGCCCTATAAGAAATATTTTCCTAGAACATTTTTACCCCCTAACTCCTCGTTGTGAGGGGTCTTTTTGGCCCCTCTTTGAAAAATCTTTCACTTTTGATGCCTTATTTGTGATGTTTAAAAGAAGTGGACTTTTACCCCACTAGATATAATTTTAGAGGAGTGCAATCAAAGAACAAGATATTCTCCATTAAATTCTATTCTAGACCTCAGACCAACTGAAAGAAGTAGCTATAATATTTACTCGAAAAATATGGACCATAAAGTTCAATCTGCCGCAGAAGGAAAATATTTATGGAGATTTTCAATGAAAGTGTCCTTTGTTGTCCTAAGTTTCTCGGGAATCCTGACATTTTAGCTATAGTGTGTTTTCGGAGAAAATACTAAACACCCTATAAGAAATATTTTTCTAAAATATATTAACCCTCTAACTTCTCGCTGAATGGGTCTTTTTGGTACCTCTTTGAAAAATCTTTCACTTTTTATGCCTTTTTTGTGATATTTCAAAGAAGTGGACCATTTCCCCTACCAGACATCACTTTAGAGGAATGCAACCAAAGAACAAAATAATCTCCATCAAATTCTACTATAGGTCGCAGATTAACTGAAAGCTGTAGTTATAATATTTACCCAAAAAATTGACCATAAGATTCCAACTTACACAGAATGAAAATAGTTCCGAAGATTTTCAATGAAAGTATCCTTTTGTTTCTCTAGGTTTCTCAGGGATCCTTACATTTGAGGTATATAGTGTGTTCGGGAAAAATATTTAGCAGCCTATAAGAAATGTTTTTCTAAACCATTATTATCCCCTAGCTTTTCGCTGTATGGGTCTTACGGACCCTTTTTAGAAAAATTAAAAATTTCAATATTTAATGTATATTTTATAAGACTTTTAAAAAATTGACATTATTCCACCAAGTATCATGGGTAGAGTAGTGCACCCAAGGAACAAAATGCTCTTCATCAAATTCTACCGAAGGTCTCAGAACAAATAAAACCTGTACCTATAAGATTTTACTGAAAAATATAAGCCCCAATATCTTACAAACACTAGTTATAGAAATTTTTAATGGAATTTTATGCTTGTCCTTAAGTTTCTCATAAATTCTGCCCAGACCTGGTGAGCATTTTTTTATACCGAAAAATGGTCCCCGCGTAAATAAAGATCCTCAAAAGTGTTTTCTTATAATTCTCGTGGACAGTTTTCTTGGAAAAAATGTGCGATGCAATCTTCGGCATTTTCTTATTACAATTCCAATATTCTGATACCGCATTCTTCTGGGAAACCAATTAGCGAATTGCGTTTCAAATAAGTGCCGTTAAACCAAAAGATGGTAAATGATTCGTGGGAAATCCCCGCAAAAGACAGCTGCTCTTGCCGAACTTTCCCTACCTTCCTACCTACCTGTCAAAAGTCAGGGCTTATGCGTAGGAGATCGTCGGCGCATTAAAAATTCCAACTATAAAACAGTTATCCTACTACCTGCCTGCCACGGAAACAACCTGAGGATCATAAAATCGGCGCAGGATCAATTTCAGGCCTTATAAAAACTAGAGCACAGCCAAGAATTACCAGTCAGTTCTAAACTGCAACGTCTAACGTTAACAAGGCTCAAAGCACAAACGCTTATATTTTTAAATCATTTTTTCCTAACAAAAAATGGCAATCGAAACCTTCCCAGAAGTACCGTCAACCCCACAAAAATCTACGATGGCAGAAAATCCGAAGGTGAATTCAGAAAACCCGAAACCATTCAAAACCAAACTCCTCAAAAAATTCAAAGTCAAACGCATGGCTTCGATTCTGAACAATAAATTCTCCAAAATCATGCGCCGCAATTCCCTGACCAGAAGCTATAATAATTTGGCCAATGAGCTGTCGCTGCAACCAAGGAGTGCCACCCAGTCGGCTCTGGCGAAATTATTCACGCTGCCACGAACCCGAGGCAGACAAATCAAGAAGGAACATCAAGTTACCATGGAATCCGCCAGGCAGGAGGCAGATGAATTGAGAAGTGGGCGAGACTTCACGAAGGAGGATCAGATTCAAAAAATGGAAACTGAGGACCTCAACAATTCATCAGCAAGTTCTTGTCAAGGAAGACCCAAAAGATCGAAGTCTCTGGACCAGAAAACTCTTGAAAAATTGAGGACAGATTTGGACAACCAAATGAATTCCGCGGACAAGATACGAAGATCCCGAAGTTTGTATTTTAAAGAGGATGCCCAAATTTCTTCTCCCAGTTATTCTACACATCAAGCGGAACAATTCCACCATGAAATTATGACCAGACTTCAAGAAATACAACAAAATTCCGGCTTCGTAAGGTCCTCGGTGCGTAAATCCCGCAAGAAGCGAAGGGCTCCTGGTATACCCAACTCCGGACTTGTTTCCCCCCGAGACAGCAGGAATACAAGCTCCACTCAAATGTCCTCAGATTCTGAGGCACAACCCATCACCGAAACATTTACTATATCAACTACGAATAATTCCGAAACTCCCAGCTCAGAAGTGGAATCTACGTCGGGCAAGAACTCCGAAACCGAAGATTCCATGGAAACCAAGGTAAGTTTGGAAATTTTAAAAACGTCATCCGGAAACCATGCTAAAGAGATCAATTTTTTCCCTCCAGATCACCAGCGAGGAATCTCCGATAGAAAATGGCGCCCAACGTGGCACACCCATCAAACCCCAGAGGAAAAAGAAGCTACGCCGCAGTTTAAGTTGGCGAAAAGACAATTCATTGGTGGAAACACGCACGCTGTCCAGTACCGATTCGGAAACGGAAAACAAAATGCAAGCAACAAGAATTGCCCTGGCCAGACCTAGGCCTCAGGGGAAATTCAAATCCCCCAACGAAGAGGCCAACCACAGCCAGCTACAGCTAAGACCTGCCAAGGGTATTCTCAACACTTCACTGAATCTGAAACGGCTACCAATCAGTGATCAATCGCTTATATCCTCCTGCTCCTCCTCCTCCGCGGGACGGAGACAGACAAATTCTCGACAAATTTCCGATAGTTTCGATTTGGGTTTCGAAACGGGTTCCAATGAATTCGATAGTCCCATTCGAAGGAAAAGTAAATCCCAGGGTATCTTGAATCGTTCCTTGGGGAAATTTGAGGAGAATCAACGATGCTATTCCACGCCCATCAAACGTCAGGGTTCCAGGAATCTCAGTTCGGCCTTTAATGAAACCGGTAGTGTGGCTCAGCAATCGGTTAGTCCCATACCCATCAGTCGGAGCGCCAAGCCTCCACGACATCGTTCAGTTTATGACACCGATTCCCGGCGTAGTTCCTCCATTGCCATGCAGGTGATAAGGGAGGACCATTCATGGGAGTTGGATGACAAGGAGTTGTCGCGCAGCCAAAGCAATGCCAATCTCATGTACAACAATGCCTCCACCAGAGAAATGGAGGATACGCGGCGCAAGGAACCTATGCCGGAATCTTCAAGGTTTTGGATAAAATCCGGAGATTTTTATGTGGCCTTGGAAATTTTCCCCAACGAAGCCGAGAGGTTGAAGCTGCTCTATGAAATCTTTCGCCAGAGATGCCCGGACAATAAGCCCATCAATTTTGGCATAGATGGCCAGAAGTTTGGCTTGCGTGGCAAACAAGAGGATACCCATATTTCACAACGCCTGCCCTCCAGTAACCAGGAAAGTTCCCATTATTGGTTTTCCACGGAGGACATGACATTGCCTTTCAGTGGCAAATACCTAAGCCCTGAGAAGATTCAACGACTTTTTGCCTTCCTCAAGGTTTCCGTCAAAGAAACGGGAGAGCTACACTTTGGCATAGATGACATAGAGTTCTCCAATGTCGGTTCGCCCATTGAAAATTGGCAAAATGTCTCGCTGACGTCAACAAATCCCAAATATTCGCTGGGTAGCTATAGCAAGTCATCGAGGGATAGCAGCATTTCCGGGAGAGCTCCTGTTATGTTTCGCACCAGCAGTCGCCTTAGCCTGCCAGCCAGGTCGAAAACCAATTGGCCAGTGAAGTTTCCGCCCTCGCAATTTGATTTCGAAAGCGATGATTTTCGGGAAATTGATTCGCCCTGTTCCTCCATATCTCCATTTGACAGTAGGAGTTTTGATTTTACAACGCTAAATTCTGAGGATCCCGCCACAGCCACCACCTCCGCCACCACCATGACCCGATACAGTGAAAATGCTCTCCTGGATTCCTTTGGCCAGGAGTATGAAAATGAACCTCTGGATCAGCTGTTTGTGAAATCCAAAGCCAGGCGAGTGGAGGAAACCGACAAATCTCTAACCTCCATTGACAATTTAATGGGAATCCTGGAGAATCAACATCGCCGTTTAAGTACGCTGCAAGGACGTCTTTCCCAGTATCATAGCTCACCCGTCACCTCCTATGATGCCTTGGAAGCCCTACAGGAATCACCGGAATATTTGCCGTTACTCAAAAATATCGTTGCGGATATACGACGTATCGGCAAGAGTAATGGCTTCCAGCATTGCTCGCTCGACGAACTGGAACGTTATATGTTCTTCTTGAGTCGCTACGCAGATGTTCGTCTTAATGCCTGCACCCATCACATGGATCGTGTTATGAATGTGCTGCGTAGCCAGCGGGAAGTTTATGTTTAGCTATAAGTTTTTTATTTTTTGGTCGTGTCGGAGGTCTTCAAAAGATCTCGACTAGTTTGTAAGAATTGAAAATACAATGACTTTTTTCCTAGAAAATTCTACGCGGTTTTTTATTTTAATGGAGGAAAATTTTGAAGACAGATATGATGAGATTCTGGAGATTTAGAATCAATCTCCAGAAACAGAGGAATTTTTCTTCATTTCTCGGAAATTGAGGAGAAAATCTCCTAAAACTCAGGAATAGACCAATTTATCAAGAGCACGGGATCAAGGAATCAGAGCTGATAAACTGAGGATACAATCTACGGACACTGGCCGACGAGTCCTCACAGATGTCAAAGATATATTTCCATAGATTTAATCGCCAGAAGCAGATGAATTTTTCTTCATTCTTTGAAAATTTGAGGAGATAATCTCCTAAAACTCAGAAATCACGGCTCATAGACCGAGATATCAAAATCACGGGATCAAGGAATCGGAGCTCATAAACTGAGGATTTAATCTTTGGACACTGGCCGATGAGTCCTCAGATTTCGAAGACTTATGTCCATAGACTTAATCGCCAGAAGCAGAGGAATTTTTTCTTCATTTCTCGGAAATTGAGGAAAAAATCTCCAAAAACTCAGGAATCACTCCCCATAGACCGAGATATCGAGAGTACGAGTTCAAGGAATCGATGGCCATAAGCTGAGGATTCAATCTTTGAGCACCGCCCGATCAGTCCTAGATTTTATACTCGGAAATTGAAAAAATAATCCTCAGGAAGTCAGAAACCAATCCACGGGAAAGGAGGATTCTACAGGACAGAAACAAAGAGCCAGTTTTCAGGAACCGAAAAAAATCTTTGCAGGCCAAGGAAAAAATCCTCAAATAATCTGAAAATCAATCATTTCGAAGATTTATCGCCAGAGACAGAGGTATTTTTCTTCATTCTTCGGAAATTGAGGAAAACTCAATTCCTATAACTCAAGAATAACTCCTCAAAGACCGGGAAATCAATACTACGAGATCGAGGAATCAGTGCTCATAAACTGAGGATTCAATCTATGGACACTGGCCGATGAGTCCTCACAGATTTCGAAGATTTATTTCCATAGATTTAATCGCCAGAAGCAGAGGAATTTTCCTTGATTCTTCGGAAATTGAGGAGACAATCTCCTAAAGCTCAGGAATCACTGCTCATAGACCGAGAAATCAATACCAAGAAACCGGTGCTGAGGATTCAATCTTTTAACACTGACCGATCGGACCTCAACAACTATAGATTCTATGCTCGGAAGCTGAGAAAAAAATCCTCAGCAAGTCAGGAACCAATCTAGGGGAAAGGAGGATTCTAAAGTCAGTAATTGAAACCATTTCTCAACCACCGAAAAAATCTTTACAGGCCAAGGAAGCCATCCTCCAAAAACCTGGAAATCAATAATTTCGAAAATTTATCGCCAGAGGAATTTTTCCTCATTCTTCGGAATTTGAGAAAAAAAATCTCCTAAAACTCGGCGATCAATCCTCATAAGCTAAAAAATCAATACTGTAAGATCAAGAAATCAGTGCTCATAATCTGAGGTTTCAATCTTGGGACACTGTCCGATCAGTCCTCAGCAAGTATAGATTCTATACCCGGAAACTGAGGAATGAATCCCCAGGAAGTCAGGAATCAAGAAAGGAGGAAATGAGGATTCTTTAGAACAGAAACCTAGAACCAGTTATCGGTTCTCAACCAAATTAATCTTTGCAGGCCAAAGAAACAATCCCCAAATAACCTGAAAATCAATCATTTCGAAGATTTATTCGCCAGAGACAGATAAATTTTTCTTCATTCTTCGGCAACTGAGGAAACTCAGGAATCCTAAAACTTCTCATGGACTGAAAAATAAAAACCTAAGAACCAATGTTGAGGATTAAATCTTTGGACATTGACCGATCAATCCTCAGAAACTTTAGATTCTGTACTCGGAAGCTGAGGAAAGAATCCCCAGAAAGTCAGGAATCAATCCACGGGAAAGGAGGATTACAGAACCAGTTCTTAGGAACTGAAAAACACTTTGCAGACCAAAGGATTCAATTAAAGTGTCAGTCGCCCCTAAACTAGGAAATCATCCACCATCAATCTTCCGAAACAGAGGATATAGAAATGAGAAACCTAGGAAAGAATCTCCAGAAACTGAGCAATCAGTCCTCAATATCCGAGGATTCAAATGAAGAACCGTTCCCCCCAAAACTTAGAAATATAGAGATCAATCTCTAGACGTTCAGCAATCAATCCTCAATATCCGAGAATTCAACTGAAGAATCAGTCGTCCCGAAACTGGAAAATCAATCAATTCCTAATTGTCCTTTGTCTAATGGACATTGTTCCACATTGGGCGCCATTTCTATTTGAAAATCAGAAGTCAATGCTCAGAAACGGAGGATACCTCAAAGATAATCCTTAGAATCAATTTCGAGAAACTGAGCAATCAGTCTTCAATATTTGAGGATTCAACTGAAGAATTATACGTCCCGAAATTGGGAAATCATCCTCCATCAACCCTCAGAGACGGAGCTTATAGTATTGAGAAACCTAGGAATCAATCTCTAGAAACTAAGTAATCAATCTTGAATATCCGAGAGTTCTACTGAAGAATCAGTCGTCCCGAAACTAGGAAATCATCCTCCATCAAGCCTTCGAACTGAGAAACCGAGGAATCTATCTCCAGAAACTGAGCAATCGGTCCTCACTATCCGAGGATTCGACTGTAGAATCAGTTGCCCACAAAACTTGGAAATCATCCTCCTTCAATCTTCAGAAACTATCCTTTATCAGTCCTCAGAAACGGAGGATATAGAACTGAGAAACCGAGAAATCTATCTTCAGAAACTGAGCAATCAGTCCTCAATATTTGAGGATTCAACTAAAGAATCAGTCCACCCAAAGGTGGGAAATCATCCTTTATCAATCCTCAGAAACGAAGGATATAGAACTGAGAAACCTAGGATTCAATCTCCAGAAACTCAGCAATACGTCCTCAGTATTCGAGGATTCAAGTGAAGAACCAGTGCATCGCGAAACTGGGAAATCAATCAATTCCTAATTGTCTTTTGTCTAATGGTAGCTCCACATTGGGCGCCATTATATATTCCTACCGAGGAAACAATCTTCAAGAACGGAGGATACTCTACTGTGAAATCTAGATATCAATCTCCAGAAACTGAGCAATCAGTCTCCAATATTAGAGGATTTAAATGAAGAATCTCTCCCCCCGAAACTGGGAATCGAATCAATTCCTAATTGTCATTTGTCTAATGGTTGCTCCACATTGGGCGCGATTTGGTTTGGAATTCCCAAAGGCTGATAATCGATACTCACCAAACAATTATCTCATTTCCATCCAAAATAGTTTATTTTTTCTTCATTTAATGAAAGCCTCATGTTGGGCGCCATTTTATTTTCGAGACAAAAAAAACGGACAATTTATAGATGTCATTTCGAAATTCTACGTAGAGTCGAAAATCCTAAGGGATTGTTTCCTCGTTGAATAATCTTAGAATATGTCCCTGGGGTCTTTTTCAGGTAGGGTATCCTGAATCCTCATTTCCCCATAGCTGACATTTTCTCAACGTCTTTCGAAATTCTCGTCGAAATACCTCGGCGAGTCTTTCTAGAACCCCTTGGGGACTTCTTTTTTTGTCGAGTAATATAAGAATCTGTCCCTGGGGGTCTTTTTCAGGTAGGGTATCCATATCGGACGATTTGTTTTTTTCACTACTAAATTATCCTTTCCCCAATGGCAGATTACGGTATAATTCCTTATTCCTTTCCTTAGCTTAATATAAGTCTCACGTTGGGCGCCATTTTCTTAAACAGACAATTTCTAGTCGAAATTTCGAAAATCTCACCGAAATACCTCGGCGAGTTGGTCCTACAACCCCTGGGGTGTTGTTTCTTCGTCGAGTAATCTAAGTATCTGTCTCTGGGGAATCTTCTTTCCCACAGCAGATTATGGCATAATTCCTTATTTCTCCTTTGCTTAATAAAGGTCCAACGTTGGGCGCCATTTTCTTAAAGAGATTTCTCGGTGGAAGCACTTCGTTAATATTTCCAGATTTAATTTTTGAAAATTACGTTGGGCGCCAGTTCATTTTCGGGGAAACAACAGAGAATTCCTAGACATAATTTCGAAATTCTCGTCGAACTACCTCGGCGAGTCGTTGTAGAACCCATGGGGTCTTGTTTCTTCGTCGAGTTACCTTAGTATCTGTCTCTGGGGTCTCTTTGAGGTGTGATATCCATATCCGGTGATTGGTTATAGTTTCCCAATAGCAAATTATGGCATAACTGCTTATTTCTTCTTTGCTTAATATAAGTCCCACGTTGTGCGCCATTTTTGATAAGAGATTTTTCGGTGCAAGAATATCGGTACAAATTTCCAGATTTAATTTTTCCGGTGGTCTTGCCTCGGATAGGGTGTCGATGACGGAACAATCGTCAATTGAAGCTACTGTAAAATTATTTTTTTCTGTTCTGCTTAAAATTCGCCCCCATTGGGCGCCATTTTGCAATTGAAAGAACTGTAATTTTAGGAAAGTACCCAGAATTAATAATTTCTTATTTCTCTTTTGTTGAATATAAGCCCCACGTTGGGCGTCATTTTTGATAAAGAGATTTTTCGGTGCAAGAATATCGGTAAAAATTTCCAGATTTAATTTTTCCGCTGATCTTGCCTAGGATAGGATGTCGATACCGGAACAATCGCCAATCGAAGCTACAGTAAAATTCATTTTTTCTGTTCTTCTTAAAAGTCGTCCACATTGGGCGCCATTATGTAATCGAATGAACTGTAATATTGGAAAAGTATCTAGAATTAATAATTTATTTTTCCTCCTTTGCTTAATATAAGCCCCACGTTGGGCGCCATTTTTGATAAAGAGATTTTTTTCGGTGGAAGCACATCGTTAAGATTCCCAGATTTAATTTTTCCGGTGATCTTTTCTCAGATAGGGTGTCAATGCCGAACCAATCGTCAATCGAAGCTACTGTAAAATTATTATTTTCGGATCTGCTTAAAAGTTGCCCACATTGGGCGCCATTCTGTAATTGAAAGCACTGTAATTTTAGGAAGGTACCTAGAATTAATAATTTCTTATTTCTCTTTTGTTGAATATAAGCCCCACGTTGGGCGCCATTTTTTGATAAAGAGATTTCTCGGTGGTAGCACATCGGTAAGATTCCCAGATTTAATTTTGAGGCTCACGAATGTGGAGATGTTAGTAATCCGAAGGCTTTGTCTCGGATAGGGTGTCAATACCGGACAAATCGCCAATCGAAGCTACTGTATAACTCATATTTTCTGCTCGCCTCAAAATTCGCCCACAATGGGCGCCATTTTGAAAATTAAATAACTGTAACATTAGAGGGGTACCCAGCACCCACCTACCTAACTTATTTTTAAAGTTCGCCCACATTGGGCGCCATTCGGTAATTGAAAGGTTCCTAGTATTCTAAAATTGATTTTAATTTTTTTTAGTCATAAATTTTGTCCTCTGCGTTCCGATCGGATTTTTAATCATTTATTTTTTCTCTCCCCCTTTCCAGCCCCCCGAAAATGAGCTTCAAAAATCCCACGATCACAATCCGGCCGCCTTAAGTGAACATCAGCTACGCATACAGGCCTCGCTGCAACGTCTCAACATACCCGACTGGTTTAGGCAATACAATCAAAAATCACCCGATGGCACCGGTCCCGGCACCTACAAACCTGGCAATTTCACCCGCAAACGTACCCAAGATTCTGGACGTTGGGCCGGTCTTAACTCAAAGACCACGTCACTCAGTTCGTTGGGTTCCCAGCGTTCCGATCGTAGTCCTTTGCTGTTAAGTCCCTCGGCGCACAGTCATCATGGCGGTCAGACGGCTGGCGGTCATGGTCACGGTACGGTGGGTGGTGGACATGCTGGTGTTGTTGGCCATGGCGGCGCCGGCGGCGGTGGTGGAGCATTTTCACGTTGGTCCACATCACATTTGAACTCCTCGCAGACCTCACCCAGCGTTTCGCAGCGTGGCTCATTTTCCCGTGGCGGACCCATCAATTCGAGCTTTATATCGGTAAACAGTGGCCACAGTGTGATAAGGAATTCAATGCGCCAGCCCTATTTGGGTTGGCGTAGCCAAGAGAAGCTGTCACAGAGAACGGCCCATGAGAGGTGAGCGGATTTTTATGTTTTTGAGAAATTATTTTTAAATTTTTTTTTTTCTTAACTTTCAGATTGGCCTCCTCCCTTTTGTCGCAGCAGCAACGCACATCGCCCACAAGCCAAACCACACCCACAGCGGCCAGCCGCAAACTGCAGCCTGTCACCCCGGAGATCCAGTCCTCCATCAAGGAGGTCACTTCGGCCATTGTACATTATGTAAACGATCAAACAAATCAACAGCGCAGTAGATCGACGAGTCCAAATTCGAGGTAGGCTGGTATCAGATAAAACAAAGAATGCCAGCTTTTTTTCTAAAACTTCTTTTTGTGAAAAAAAAAATAGTTTTGATTTTTCCGAAAAAAAATTTAATTTCAATTTTTTTTTAAATTCAGGGGATTAAAAATCCCTTCTCCCCAAACTCCCCCCCCCCCCAAAAATGTACAGCACCAACTTAGTTATCAAAACTTCCTGGCCTCACGAAAAAAAGAGATATTTTCTCTCTTTTAAAGAACTCTTAGTTCTGAGTCTCTCTCTCTAAATTTTAGCCAAGCCAACAACCCTTAGAGCTGTAATTGTTTATGTGTGTTGTCCTCCCCCCCCCACCTCTTTCAATGTAGTCTACAAAACTTTAGTTGATTTTCTTTTTTTTTTTCTATTTTTCTTTCAATTTTTTTATAGCTATTTATAAATCCACCTCCTCCCCACCCAAAGAAAAAAAAATTGGAAAATCAGTTTTGTTTTCGAATTCGTTTCGATTTTGAGTTTTTTTTACATTTCCGATCATGCACCAACCAGACACCAACTTTAGTTTAGTTTTTGCTTTCGGCATCACCTCAAAACCTGTTGATTTGATTTTCTCTACTCTCCACCCCTCCCGCCATGGACATGGATGGATGGATGGATGTTGCAGAAACCCCCACACCATAATTGGGGATCGTCACATCCGTTTGTCTTCACACCCAAGGTTTTTTACATTGTACATATGAGCCGTATGATTTTCTCTCACCAACCAACCAATCAATCCACCACTACCCACGCACAAACACATGCACATAACAATTTTTCATTTTCATTACAATTTAAGGTAAGTTTTGAGTTTTTTATTATTTTTTTTAATTTTTATTTTTTAATTTTAAATATTTAAATTTTAATATTTTTATTTATTTATTTATTTAAAAAAAATTATTTATTTTCCACGAATTTTCGAAATTTTATAAAATTTATAAAAATAAAAAAACAAGTAAAAAAGCAGATAAGTTCGGCCGGGACGAACTTTTAATACCCTCCACCATTTGGAAGGAACTCGAAAATTTTCAAAATTTCCGAAAACTACCACTTAATTGAAAACCGTTACATGGGGGCTATACGAAGACGTGGACCTACACAAACAATTTTCTGTCATGGGCTGGAGTATTCATTACGAACTTCAAATACCAAATTTGAAACAATTCCGATGAATAATGTCGCCAGAATCACTAAAATACCGAATATCGGGAGATACCCTTATATGGGGGCCATACGAAGACGTGGACCTGCACAGACAATTTTCTATAATAGGCTGTGGTTGCCATTACGAACTTCAAATACCAAATTTGAAACAATTCGGATAAATAATGTCTCCAGAATCACTAAAATACCGAATATAGGGAGGTACCTTTATATGGGGGCTATACTAAGGCGTGGACCGGCACAGACAATTTTCTACCATAAGCTGCGGTATCCATTACGAACCTCAAATACCAAATTTGAAACAATTCGGATAAATAATGTCGCCAGAATCGCTAAAATACCGAATATCGGGAGGTACAATTATATGGGGGCTATACTAAGGCGTGGACCTGCACAGACAATTTTCTGTCATAGGCTGTCACATCCATTACGAACTTCAAATACCAAATTTGAAAAATTTCGGATAAATAATGACGCCAAAATCACTAAAATACCGAATATCGGGAGATACCATTATATGGGGGCTATACGAAGACGTGGACCGGCACAGACAATTTTCTGTCATAGGCTGTCACATCCATTACGAACTTCAAACACCAAATTTGAAACAATTCCGGGAAATAATGTCGCCAAAATCCTCAAAATACCGAATATAGGGAGGTACTCTTATATGGGGGCTATACGAAGATGTGGACCTGCACAGACAATTTTCTGTCATAGGCTGTAGTATCCATTACGAACTTCAAATACCAAATTTGAAACAAATCCGCTAAATAATGACGCTAAAATCATCAAAAATACCGAATATCGGGAGATACACTTATATGGGGGCTATACCAAAACGTGGACCTACACAGACAATTTTCCGTCATAGGCTGTAATATCAATTACGAACTTCAAATACCAAATTTGAAACATTTCCGGTGAATAATGTCGCCAAAATCCTCGAAATACCGACAATAGGGAGGTACCTTAATATGGGGGCTATACGAAGGCGTGGACCGGCACGAACAATTTTCTGACGTAGGCTGTAGTAGCCATTACCAACTTCACATACCAAATTTGAAACAACTCCGGTGAATAATGTCGCGAAAATCTGCAAAATACCGAATATAGGGAGGCACCCTTATATGGGGGCTATACGAAGATGTGGACCTGCGCAGACAATTTTCTGTCATAGGCTGTAGTATCTATTATGAACTTCAAATACCAATTTTGAAACAATTCCGGTGAATAATGTCGCCAGAATCACTAAAATACCGAATATAGGGAGGTACCCTTATATGGGGGCTATACGACGACGTATACCTGCATAGACAATTTTCTGTCAAAGGCTGTGGTATCCATTACGAACTTCAAATACCAAATTTGAAACAACTCCGGTGAATAATGTCGCCAGAATCCTCAAAATACCGAAAATATGGAGGTACACTTATATTGGGGCCATACGTGGACCGGCACGAACAATTTTCTGTCATAGGCTGTCACGTCCATTACGAACTTCAAATACCAAATTTGAAAAATTTCGGATAAATAATGACGCCAAAATCACTAAAATACCGAATATCGGGAGATACCCTTATATGGGGGCCATATGAAGACGTGGACCTGCACAGACAATTTTCTGTCATAGGTTGTAGTGTCCATTACGAACTTCAAATAACAAATTTGAAACAATTCCGATGAATAATGTAGCTAAAATCATCAAAATACCGAATATCGGGAGATACCCTTATATGGGGGCTATACAAAGACGTGGACCGGCACAGACAATTTTCTGTCATAGGCTGTAGTATCCATTACGAACTTCAAATACCAAATTTGAAACAAATCCAGTAAATAATGTCGCCAGAATCACTAAAATACCGAATATCGGGAGGTACCCTTATATGGGGGCTATGCGAAGACGTGGACCGGCACGAACAATTTTCTGTCGTAGGCTATAGTATCAATTACGAATTTCAAATACCAAATTTGAAACAATTCCTGTGGATAATATCGCTAAAATCATCGAAATACCGAATATCGGGAGGTACCCTTATATGGGGGCTATATGAAGACGTGGACCTGCACAGACAATTTTCTGTCATAGGCTGTAGTACTCATTATGAACTTCAAATAACAAATTTGAAACTATTCCCATGAATAATGTAGCTAAAATCACTCAAATGCCGAATATCGGGAGGTACCCTTATATGGGGGCTATGCGAAGACGTGGACCTACACAGACAATTTTCTGTCATAGGCTGTCACATCCATTACCAACTTCAAATACCAAATTTGAAACAATTCCGGTGAATAATGTAGCCAAAATCATCAAAATACCGAATATCGGGAGGTACCCTTATATGGGGACTATATGAAGACGTGGACCTGCACAGACAATTTTCTGTCATAGCCTGTAGTACTCATTATGAACTTCAAATAACAAATTTGAAACTATTCCCATGAATAATGTAGCTAAAATCACTCAAATGCCGAATATCGGGAGGTACCCTTATATGGGGACTATACGAAGGCGTGGACCGGCACAGATAATTTTCTGTCATAGGCTGTAGTATCTATTACAAACTTCAAATACCAAATTTAAAATAATTCCGATGAATAATGTCGCCAGAATCACTAAAATACCGAATATCGGGAGGTACCCTTATATGGGGCTATACGAAGGCGTGCACCTGCACAGACAATTTTCTGTCTTAGGCTGTAGTATCCACTTCGGACTTCAAATACCAAATTTGAAATAATTCCGATGAATAATGTCGCCAAAATAATCAAAATATCGAAAATAGGGAGGTATCCTTATATGGGGGCTATACGAAGACATGGCCCCGCACAAACAATTTTCTGTCATAGGGTGTATTATCCATTACGAATTTCAAATACCAAATTTGAAACAATTCCGGTGAATAATGTCGCCAGAATCACTAAAATAACGAATATCGGGAGATAACCTTATATGGGGGCTATACGAAGACGTGGACCTGCACAGGCAATTTTCTGTCACAGGCTGTAACATCCATTACGAACTTCAAATACCAAATTTCAAACAAATTCGCTAAATAATGACGCTAAAATCTTCAAAATACCGAATATCGGGAGGTACCATTATATGGGGGCTATACGAAGACGTGGACCTACACAGAAAATTTTCTGTCACAGGCTGTAGTATCCATTACGAACTTCAAATACCAAATTTGAAATAATTCCGGTAAATAATGTCGCCAGAATCACTAAAATACCGAATATCGGGAGGTACCATTATATGGAGGCCATACGAAGACGTGGACCGGCACAGACAATTTTCTATCATGGGATGTAGTATTCATTACGAACTTCAAATTCGAAATTTGAAACAATTCCGCTAAATAATGTCGCCAAAATCACTAAAATACCGAATATTGGGAGATACCCTTATATGGGGCTATACGAAGACGGGGACCTGCAAAGACAATTTTCTGTCAAAGGCTGTAGTATTCATTACAAACTTCATATACCAAATTTTTAAAAAAAAATCCAGTAAATAATGTCGCCAGAATCATCAAAATGCCGAATATCGGGAGATGCCCTTATATGGGGGCTTTACGAAGACGTAGACCTGCACCGGCAATTTTCTGTCATGGGCTGTAGTATCCATTACGAACGTCAAATACCAAATTTGAAACAATTCCGGTAAATAATGTCGCCAGAATCACTAAAATAACGAATATCGGGAGATACCCTTATATGGGGGCTATACGAAGACGGGGACCTGCATAGACGATTTTCTGTCATAGGCTGTAATATTAATTACGAACTTCAAATACCAAATTTGAAACAATTCGGGTGAATAACCTAGCCAAAATCACTAAAATACCGAATATCGGGAGGTGCCGTTATATGGGGGCTATACGAAGATGGGGACCGGCACAGACAATTTTCTGTCACAGGCTGTAGTATCCATTACGAACTTCAAATACCAAATTTGAAATAATTCCGGTAAATAATGTCGCCAGAATCACTAAAATACCGAATATCGGGAGGTACCATTATATGGGGGCTATACGAAGACGTGGACCTGCACAGGCAATTTTCTGTCAAAGGCTGTAGTATTTATTACCAACTTCAAATACCAAATTTGAAACATTTCCGGTGAATAATGTCGCCAAAATCCTCAAAATACCGACAATAGGGAGGTACCTTAATATGGGGGCTATACGAAGGCGTGGACCGGCACGAACAATTTTCTGACGTAGGCTGTAGTAGCCATTACCAACTTCACATACAAAATTTGAAACATTTCCGGTGAATAATGTCGCCAGAATCACAAAAATACCGAATATCGGGAGATACCCTTATATGGGGGCTATACGACGTCGTGGACCTACACAATCATTATGGCATAATTCCTTATTTCTTCGTTGCTTAATATATGCCCCACGTTGGGCGCCATTTTCTTAAACAGACAATTTCTCGACGTCATTTTGTCATTTCTCGCCGAGATACCTCAGCGCGTCGTCCTAGAACCCCTAAGGTCCTGTTTCTTCGTCAACTAATCTTAGTATCTGTCTCTGGAGTCTTTTTCCGACTGGGTATCCATAACTGCTGTTTTTCTTTTCGCTACTGAATTATTTTATTTCTCCATAGCAG